CAGTGAGGCGACGTCCCGGCCATGCTTGTCTGGTCCAAGCTGGCTTGTGTCATCAGACCAGGCCTTTCCCCTATGGCCAGGATGGGCCAAAGGCAAGGAACCTTGTCTCTGTCCCTGCTTCCCTCCCTTCCCCTTTAACCTGGGGACACCTGCTACACCATGCAGCTCCACCTGGGCCACTATTTCTAATGGAGCCCCCAAAGGTTGGCTCAGAAGGTTCTGAGGGGGCCCCTCAGGAACTCCCTCTCTGGCAGTGAGCTGCTGCTTCACTAGCGGTTCCCGGCCTGGCTGAGGAAGAGTTGGGAGTGACATACCCACCCAGAAGGGCAATGCGCAGGTTCTGGCGGAAGATGGGGTTGAGGATGAGGCCCTGGAGGCCACCAGGGAGCAGCTGGGTGTGCCAGATACGGAGGCCGCTCAGCAGCCCTGTGCTTTCCTCCTGGGCCCTGGAACAGAAGCAGAGAAGCGAGTGGGGTCTGGAGAACCCCCACCAGAGTCTTGTTACAGACCACACAAAGAAGGAAGACGGTGTGCAGAATTCCCACACTTATCTCACTGCAAGTGCTGTGCTGTCCCCATTGTTTCCTGCAAGCGTCCCAAGGGCAGCAGTTCGGGGAATCTAGCTGTCGAGAGAGGTGAGAGAGCTGCGGAGAACACGGGACAGACTCACTTGCTGAATTCCTTCTTCACCCACAGGGCTACGGCGGCTTGTGGCAGAGGCTGCTCCAGAAAGAGCATCCGCATCACCCAGTTCTTAGCCAAGGACGGGAGCTCCCTGTGGGGTGTAGGCCCGATGTTATTATTATTTTATTTTTATTTTTATTTTGGAGAGGTTTTTGCTACAGGGCGTGTGCGCTCACCAGAAAAACAGAGAGAGACAGAAAGTGAGAAATCACCCCCCAGGGGGGATGGCCACACCGCAATCCCTTCTCCTCCATTCTCCTCTCGGGATCTTGGGCACGCACGCACACATGCCCGGTGTGAGTTTAAGCCACCAGGTCCGGGACACGAACCGCAGTCAACTACACGGGAGTCCAGCAACATAGCCATTACGCCAACTGCTGGTCCCCCAAGGCCTGCTGTTATTCTCGGAAGCTGCCTTGTTCCTGTGTCTCTGCTCTCAACTGCCTCTCGAACATCACTTCGCCCCACACACACTGCTGTCAGCCCTGCTGCCCCCTCAAACTCCATCCATTTTCGGCCCGCTACATTTCGGACTAACTTCCAAGCCCCCCCTTCTCAGCCCACCCTCTGGCCTCTAGGCTTCTACCTGTGATATATGTCACTAGTCCTGTCTGGAGGCCCCATTACATGTGCATGCCGTGGTCCCAGTCACGAGGGGCTCCTACCGGAAGACGGCCAGGCAAGTGGCAGGGTGTCCATACAATCGGTCCAGGACGCCGGAGCTCAGGCCCCCTAGGAACTCCTGCAGATTCCTGCATTGTAGGTGCACTCGGTTCAGTCCGCCCCTCGAAGGGGTGCTCTCCATCGCCTAAGAGATGCATGTGTTAAAAGCACACCCCCACGATCCACGCCTCCCCTCTCACTGGTCTGGACCCAGCAGCCCCAGGGTAACCCCGTCCTTGCTGCGCTTTCCTTTCCCACGTGGCTCATCTCGTTTCTCCCACCCTGACCCACCTCAGGCACTGACTCCCAGCCCACCTCTGCTTTCAACTAGTCTTTTCTGAATTTCCGAGTGACGGAATTCTTAGTTGTCGCGTCTTTGCAAACTCATTGTGTATCTCGAGGACTCTTCATCTTTGACTAAAAGGCGACATTTATGAGTCTTTCCTCTCTTCCCCCCTTCCTGGTCAGATCCGGCTATCGGAGCCCCAGATCGTATTTACTTATTACTTCTTTACACAGAAGACAGTCCTTCGCATCTGCTGCCGTTACTTCTTGGCCCGGTTCTGCCAACCACCGCACTAAACCACCTCTCCCGCTCATGCTTCCCGCTACCCACGTCCCCTTCTCCCGGCCACCTGTCCCACACCGTCGGATCCCCTAACTTCCCCACGGTCCTCCCGCGCCGCTCCTCTCCCTCAACTCTCAGAGCTCGCCACCCTCGCCCTCGCCGGGGCCCCCTCACCACTCCGGGTCGACCCCCCGACGCGTACCCCGAGTCTGGAGCCGTCGCTTAATCGAAGCCAATCCCTCTCATTGGCTCCCGGAGATAGGGGAAAGGACGGCGTAAAACGATGGGGAAAGGACGAAGGATTTCGCAGACAGGAGCACAGAATGGAGAATTGGGAGGATACGCGAGGAGAGGCTCAGGAAAGTGGGGAGGACCAGAATAAGCACTGCACCCTCTCGCCCCGAAGGTTCCTGGGAACTGGAGTCTTACCTTTGCTCACTGCAGGGCAGGTTGGGCCGCGAGTGACTACAACTCCCGACAGGCCCCGGGGCAGGCCGGGCGGAGGGCAGGCTTTCAGTGAACGGCCGGGCACCCCAGACGCGGCGCGCTTTCGTTCCGCTGTTTTCTCTGCCCACGCTCCTAAGGGCGCGAGGAACCGGACTAGGCAGGAGGCGGCCCGGGAGAGGTTCCCGGAGGGCTTCCTGGCGAGGGGCAGGAACCAGCTCGTAAATCAAGTGCTTAGATTTAAAAGATCACAAAATGGGGGTCTCTGAGCTTACTTGCTTCCTGTAAAATTGGGATAATGCGCGCTCCAGAGCGTTTCGCCACTTAAAGACACGATCCAATGCGCCTTGTTGGACACTTAGATACTCAATTTTTTTTTTTTAAGAGAGATTTTTGCTAAGGGCACGTGCGCTTGCCAGACAGAGACAAAAAGCGAAAAATCGTGGTGTGTAGGGGGAATGGATCCCTTCTCGTCCATTCTCCTCTCTGGGACTTGAGCAGGCACGCACACGCGCGGGCTGCGTTGAAGCCACCAGGTCCTGGACTCGCAGGGTGGTTGACTACCCGGGAGTCCAGCGACGTAACCTTTACACCATCTTCTGGTCCCCAGAGCTTAATAAATCGTTTCTGTTTCCACCGCGCTTCCAACCCCTGTCTAGTTAGAAGACCCCAAAATATAAATGTTTAAAAGAAACCAGTGGTTTGCTCTGATTTGACCTCATGAAGGCCAGGACAACAGGGCCCCCCAAATTCCTGTAAGACCAATTCTTCTATCTCCACTTTACAGATTAGAAGAACAGAGTCCAGTGAAAGTAAGAAATTTGCCTATGGTCGGGAAGCTAGCAAGTGCTCAAACGGATCTGAGGCACATTTGCAAGATATGTGGGACCAAAACGGTGAGGACTATGTGACAATGGTTCTGTGTGGCAGGAGGGACTGCAGCCTGCTGAGGGGGACGACCAGAAGGCCGGGTGCACAGAGAGAGGGCGAGGGGAGGAAGGACACTGGAGAAGGGCGTGGGGCCAGCCTTCACCAGGGAGAGTTTGTTCTCTACCCTAAGATCAAGGAAAAGTCATTACAGGGTTTGAAATAAAGGGCTGGGATCAGACCTATGTGTTTTGAGTATCATTCTGGGACCTGCCCCATTGCCTGGTGGTTAAGGGTGCCAGATCGCCCAGGCTGACCACGTGGTCTGAATCTTGAACCCAGCGATGGTGTGCGTGCATGCCCCAAATCCCAACGTAGAGAATGGAGGAGATTGAGAACAGAAGGAGAGGGAACCAGCAGTTAGTGTAATGGCTGTGTTGCTGGACTCCCACGTAGTCGACTGCGGTTCATGTCCCAGACCCGGTGGCTTAAAATTCACGCCGGGTGCGTGTGCGTGCGTGCCCAAGATCTCAAGAGGAGAATGGAGGAGAAGGGATTGCGGTGTGGCCATCCCCCCGGGGGGTGATTTCTTGCTTTTTGTCTCTCTGTCTCTCTCTGTCTGGCGAGCACACGTGCCCTATAGTGAAAACCTCTCCAAAAATAAAGAAAAAAAGAAAGAACAAACAGGAGGAGAAAGGACTATGGGTTGACCGACTGAGGGGTGCTCTGCTGCCGCCCCCCGTGTCTCTCTCTGGCAAGCACACAGGCTCTCCAGCAGATAACAAATAAATAGCATCGTGGTTACGGGGTTGAAAACAACCCAGAGGAGCGAGAGCAGATCTGGGTGACCAGCTAGGCTACTGCAGCCATCCGGGCAAGGCGGGGCCGTGCATGCCAGGACAGCGATGGAGACAGACATGACAGTCCAGGCAGGTTTGAGAGACAGGTCCCAGGGCGCTTGTGCTGGATCGGACTTGGAAGGTGAGGGCAAGGGAGGGGGGCCAAGGACAAGCAGTGGGTGCTGCTGCTCCTCACTGCGCTGGGAAGCCCTGGAGGGAGAGCGGGTTTGGGCGTGCTGAGGCTGACGTGGATGACCTCAGGAGGCTGCAGAGGTCAGCACTCAGCACTCGGCTCCGGCTCCGAGATTCAAGATTCGGAGTCTCTGGCTCGCTGCTGTCGCTCATTACTCTGGGCGCTGGCCTCTAAACTGTAACCCTCCGAAAGCCGAATCGTGATGCTCAGGGGTCTGACCCGGGTAGTCTAGCTGGGCTAGTCCATCTGTGTCTCGTTCATTCCACCTCAGATTAAATGACCTTGATTGTTTTTTGCTTTGTTTTTGTTTTTGCCTTTGTTTTTGTTTTTTGGAAAGGTTTGTGCTATAGGGCACGTGCACTCTCCAGGAAGACAGAGAAACAGAGAGACAGAAAGCAAGAATTCAGCTCCCAGGGGGGACGGCCATGCCGCAATCCCTTCTTCTTCATTCTCCTCTCAGGATCTTAGGCACGTACGCACATGTGCCTGGTGTGCGTTTAAGCCACCGGGTCTGGGACTCGAACCGCGGTTGACTACATGGGAGTCCAGTGACATAGCCATTACGCTAACTGCTGGTCCCATCTTGATTGTTATCCTCATTATCCAATGGGCTGGTTCAGTGAACAGCATGACCCAGAACCCCAGGGTCTACTCCACACGAATTGCAGCCTGGACAGATCTGCTTTGTCCAGTAGTTGGAGGTCGTAACTGCTCCTTCTGGGCCTGTGAGGTCATCTGGACTCGGGCTGCCTCCATCCGAACAGCTTGCACCAGGGGCTGTGTGCACACTTGCTCAGCCTAACACAGCGAATCTCCACGTGGGACCGCCAGACCCTCAGCGGGGCCTCGGATTTAGGCAAGAAAAAGAGGTTACACCTTTAGTGTTACTAACCTCTAACTGAAATGTAGATTTCCTTCAACTAGGACCCATAGACAAAACCCTCAGTGTCAGCAGTGCCTGGGGCTCCTCGCGAACAGGCCCCTTGGCTGTCTCTGTATCCCGCTACGGTTGCAGAAATCTCACACTATCACTTACACTCTTGCTATTTGCAAACTGTCCATGGTTGTTATATCGACCACTAGATCCTGTTACTAAATACATATAAAAAAAAGTACATGTGGGGCCAGCAGGTGGGATGGTGGTCACGGCACTGGACTCCCACCTGGCAGACTGCAGTTCGAGTCCTGAACTCTGTGGCTTGAAACACGCTGGGCACACGTGCATGCATGTCCAAAATCTCAAGAGGAGAATGGAGGAAAATGGACTGCGATGTGGTCACGCCCCCTGCGGGTTATTTCTCACTTTCTCACTCTCTGTCTCTCTGGCAAGCACGGGTACCCTATAGCAAAAATCTCTCTCTTTTCAAATTATTTTATCTTTAGGTATGTATGTATGTATGTATGTATGTATTTTAGTTTGACCAGAGAGGGACAGAGCGAGAGAGAGAGAGAGAGGGAAAGTGAGAAAGCAAGGTCCAGGTCCAAGTCTCGAACCACAGTCAGCCATTTGGGAATCCAACACCCTTAACCACCACACCACCTGCTGGCCCCAAAAGTCTCTGTTGAAGAAAAAATAAATAAAAGGACGTTACTACTGTGTCATCATTTTTTAGAGAATATTTCATTTTGTTTATTATTATTTTAAAATTTGCTATAGGACCTGTGTGAAAGTGAGAAGGCAAGCCTCCAGGTCTAGGACTCAAACCATGGTGGGCTATGTGGAAGTCGAGTGCCATGACCACCACACCCCCTGCTGGCCTCTTTATGTCATAACTTTTAACATTTGGTAAACTGGTTTGATTTCCTGTGCAGCCTTTCTATATGTGTATTTTTAAGTTTGCTTATTCGTTTTTAAATTTGTTTGCTATAGGGCACATGTGCTTGCCAGAGAGAGTGAGAAATCACTCCCCACCCTAGGGCTGCAATCCCTTCTCCATTTCCCTCTCCGGATTTTGGGCACGCACGCACACATAAGTGCCCGGTATTTTTCTTTTCAAGTTTTTGGGGTTTTGTTTTGTTTTATTTTTCCCATAGGGCACATGGGCTCTCTGGAGACAAAGAGAGAGGGAAAGTGAAGCCCACCCCCCACCACCCCAGGGGATGGCCACACTGCAATCCCTTCTTCTCCCTTCTCCTCTAGGGATTCTGGGCACAAACCCACATGCACCCAGGGGATTTTCAAACCCTGGATTTGGGACTTGAACCGTCGTCAGTCATGTAGGATCCAACTGTCTTCGCCACACCACCAGAGCTGGCCCCTTAAGTTTCTTCCATGAGCAGGGAAACAGCACTGCCGGTGGGGCCCAGAGCAGCGTCCACCCCAGCCTCATCCGCCCAGATCACGGGCACGTGCATGTCAGGGGCACAGGGCGGGGGGTGGGGGGGTTCTCCAGACACAGACCTAGAACCTCCCCAAACGGGCCAGTGCTGCCTTCTGTTGCCAGGCCACTGGCTGGCCTCATGTGCTCTGTTTTCTTAATTTGTCAGAGGGTGTGTGCACTCACTGGAGGCAGAGAGGGGAGTGAGAAGGCACCCGGGGTGACCACGCCACGATCCCTTCTCCTCCATTCTCTTCTCTGACTTCTGAGTGTGCACACACACACATGCCCAGCATGTTTTTCAAGCCCGTGTCTGGGGCTCAGACCACACAAATGGCCGCGTGGGGTCCAGCTGCCTTAACCCTGCCACTGGCAGCCCCCATGTAGTCTTACGTATACACCTTATGGGTTTTTGTTTTGTTTTGTTTTAGAGAAGTTTTCGTTATAGGGCACGTGCAACTTGCCAGACAGAGACAGAAAGTGAGAAATCACCCCCCAGGGGGGATGGCCACGCCGCAATCCCTTCTCCTCCGTTCTCCTCTCGGGATCTTGGGCACGCACGCACACGCGCCCGTTGTGAGTTTAAGCCACCAGGTCTGGGAGTCAAACTGCGGTCGACTACATGGGAGTCCAGCGACATAGTCATTATGCCAACTGCTGGTCCCATGTATTTGATGGGTTTTAAACCATGATTCTGAGGAGGAATCAATAGACCGCTCCAGACTGCCGAAGGGGTCCCTGGCCCGTGGCTCTCCCTCCAGGCCTCCTGCAAAGCGCCCAAACTGACAGGCTCTGCGCTCTCACGTTCATGCCTTCTCCTGAGATCCCCAGGCCGAGCAGGTTCTGGGAGATGGCAGGGGAGAGGGAGGGGCAGAGGAGAAAACAGCGCAGGAGGGAGCGGCAGGAGGCAGGAGGCAGGTTTCCCAAACCCCGAGAAACCCGCTCACAGCTGTGGAAAACTCAACCTTTATTATTTCCTGCCTAGAGCAGGGGATTAAACTTGCCTCAAGCTAGATCCATATATTAGTGTAAAAATCTGTGTCTCTCCCCCCAGAAATGTACAAACCCCGAGTGATTATAGAAAAACCAACGTGGCAGCTACAATGGAGATGTCCGCCCCCCGCCCACAGGCCGCTGCTCCCTCTGCCCCCTCACCCCAGTATCTACTCCACAAAAACATCCAGGCTTGGAGAAGCGCTAGCTACAGCACAGCAGGGAGGAGGGGGCAGGGGGCACCCCAGGTCCAGTGTTTCAGGTGACGGAGGAGGAGGATGCCAAGGCTGAGGACGACTCCAGGAGCAGGCACGTGGGGACCTCGTCCTCCTGTTCATGTCCTCTCACCCCCCACATTCTCAGCCAGGGGGGTCCAGTGTGTGACAGGGAGAGGGAGGCTGGGGAGACAGCCCTCTCCAGGAACCAGTGTTGTCCGGCGGGGCCCAGCGCTCCAGCGGGCCAGGTCCAGTGTCCGCCCTGTGTGCCCAGCCTTCCCCACCGCATGGCGGAGGAGGGCAGAGAGGACGCCATCCACAGGGCTGGCTGGGGGGGCGGCAGGGCCTCTGGGGAGACGGTGGAGGGGACAGGGCGTCAGCTCCCCGGGCAGGCCCAGCCCACCTGGTCCGCAGCCCCGCTGCCTCTCTGAGGTGAAGAGAGGGACCAGCTCCTGTAGGCTCCGTGTGGCTGGCTCCCCCCCCGCTGTGGTGGGCTGCTGGGTGCTGGGGTTCACGCTGTGTTGAGCGCGTCCTCTGCCAGGAACCGGTGCAGCTGAGCAAAGGGTGGTCGCTGCTCGGGCTCCCGGCTCCAGCACCGAAGCATCAGCTCGTACAGGCCCTGCGGGCAGGCGGGCGGCCGGGACAGGTACACCTGCATGGCGGCACAGTGGGCGAGAGGCGGGGACACATGTCCTTCAGTGTCTCCGAGGTGACACGCTGTGCCCCGTGGCCCCCGGCCCGGCCCTTCTCCCCTCCCTCCTCTCCCCTCCCTCTGACCTGCCGGCCCTGGTCCCTGAAGAACTCCCCGGCGTTCTCGATGACCTGCTCGTCCGTGAGCTGCCCGAAGGGCTGGGCCCTGCAGAGCATCAGCACCTCCCAGAGGGTCACCCCGAAGGCCCACACGTCACTGGCCGTCGTGAACTTCCCCTGGCACACGGAGCAGGAGATGAGGCGGGGAAGGCCTCAGGCACTGCAGACCCTCCTGCCGGCCCGTGGGGCGCCCCACCCCTCTCAGCTCTTCCCTCCATGCTCCTTCCTCATGAGCCCACCCTCCCTCCCAAGGCCTCAGCCTGTCTCCCCCCAGGGTCCTGATTCTCCTCCCCCCTCTGCTGTCCCAGCATCTGGCCCTGACCCTCTGTCTGCCCAGCCTGCCCCCTCTACGGCCGCTCCCTGCCCTCCCGTGCCTCTCGTGTTCTCTGCCGCCCCAACTCCATGCCCCACGCCCGCCCTTGCCTGCTGCTTTCAGGGATCAGGGCATCAGGGCAGGGCCAGGTCCCTCAGCACCTCGCTGTGGCAGCCTCCAGCCTGGACCCCAGGAGCCCGGGCTGCAGGGGAGGGCACCGCTGGTGCTCTGCTTGGCCCAGCCTGCCCCTCCGGCTGCCCGCCGCTCACCCTCAGGACGTATTCCCAAGCCATCCCCCGGATGGGCA